ATATATATATATATATATATATATATATACCTGGAAATTCATATTGTATATGTATGATGGCCGCATCAAGAGGAGAGGCAGCAAAGGGCGTCCATAATAAAATATTATTTTGGTGGTTTGTTTGTTGTGTGTTTAGCTGCGGGTAGTAGCGCACTATATCTCCTAGCTGGGGTACATACACCCCGACGGGAGAAGAGAAACAGCAGGGATATGTTGCTGCTGCTGCTCCTGCTGCTGCTCCTGCTGCTGCTGGGGGTGGTGAGGGTTCTGCTGCTGCAGCAGAAGCAGATGGTGGTGATGTGGTGGGGTTGCTCTGCTGAGATGAACGCAATGTTACGCGGAAACGACGACCAGAGGAAGTCCCTTTATTGCTGCTGCTGCTGCTGCTGCTGCTGCTGCTGCTGTTGCTGCTGCTGCTGCTGCTGTTGCTGCTGCTGCTGCTGTTGCTGCTGCTGCTGCTGCTGCAGCGGTGGTCCCCCTGCAGCCAGGAACGAATCGAAAAACTCCGCAAAACATCCCCAGAGAAATGGGGGGCCAGGCTGTCGTCTGGGCGCCGTTGCTTCTGACACCTGCAGCAGCAGCAGCAGCAGCAGCAGCAGCAGCAGCAGCAGCAGCAGGAGAAGGAGGAGGAAAGGGAGTGAGAGTGAGAGTGGCAGGAGCAGTGAGTAATAAGAACAGCTGTAGAAGCAGCAGCAGCAGCAGCAGCAGCAGCAGCAGCAATACTTCAACTCAATACAATAGCTTGAGCAGCAGCAGCAGCAGCAACTGCAGCAGCAACAGCAGCAGCAGCAGGGTGGAGGGGCTCACGTAAGACACAAGAAACTACCAAAGTATAGGGGGTCTGGTACTACCCCTTTGTGGCCGCCGTGAGTTGCTGCTGCAGTTGCTGCTGCTGCTGCTGCTGCAAGGGGTGACGATGCATGTCTACCATCTGCTGCTGCAGCAGCAGCAGCAGCAGCACCAGGAGATAAGTAAGACAAGCAGCAGCAAACGTAGTGAAAGAAATGAAGACAGCTGGCACCGCAGCACTCAACTGCTGCTCCTACTGAACCACAAAAACTGCAGCGACGCTTCAGGGCTGCTGCTGTTAACTCCTGCATGCAGCAGCAGCAGCAGCAGCAGCAGCAGCAGCAGCAGCAGCGGCAGGGGGGGGAGATGAGAAATGGGAGAAAGGAGACAGCAAAAAGGAGACAAATAAATATAATGAAAAAAAGAATATAACACTGAGATAGAAAGACAAACAAAAAAGAAAAGAAAGAGACGGAAAGACAAAGACAAAAGAAGAACACAGAAGAACAAAAAAAAACAAAGACAAAGACAAAGACAAAGACAAGAAAAAAAAGATAAAGAAAAAAGAAATATAGAAAAAGAAAAAGACAAAGGCAAAACAGGAGAGCGAGAAAGGAGACAAAGAAATAAATAAAGACAAAAAACAAAGACAAAGACAAAGACAAAGACAGAAAAAATAAAAAATAAACAAAGGCAAAGACAAAGACAAAG